CTGGGAGGGAGGATCTGTCCCAGGCCCCACTCCCCTAGCTTCTGGGGGTTGCCGGCACTCTATGGTACTTGTGGACATGGCACCCCCACCCCTGCCTTCATCTTCCATGGTCTAACTCCTATGTGTGTGTGTGTGTGTACGTGTTTGTGCACATGTGTGGGGTCCAAATTTCTCCTTTTTATAAGGATATCAGTTATATTGAATTAGGCCTCACCCTACTGATCTCATTTGATCATCTCTGTAAAGACTTTACCTCCATGTTAGGTCACACTCTGAGGTACTGGGGGTTGGGATTCCATCATATGCTTTTCAGGGGAACGACATTCAATCTATAACACTCCATGAAGCTCACTTTTTTCTACTTTCCAGATAAAAATAACAGAAATAGAGGTTCTAATGGCTTCCTTTGGCATCCCCAGGGAGAGTGGTCTGTTGCTCCCAAAGTGTGTATGTACTCTCCTTTGGAGGCCACTGCCTCATCAGTGCTGGCCCTCCTCCTCCCCCTGTGATCACTCATCCCCAGTTCTTACTAGGAGCAGGGGGATATGGGGTGTTGATATGGCTTGGCTCTGTGTCCCTACCCAAATCTCATCTTGAATTATAATTCCCATAATCCCCATGTGTCAAGGGAGGGACCTGGTGGGAGGTGATTGGATCTTGGAGGCAGGCCCTTCATGCTGTTCTTTTGTGATAGTGAGTGAGTTCTTATGAGATCTGATGGTGTTATAAGCATTTCACAGTTCCTCCTTCACAAGCTCTCTCTTGCCTGCCACCTTGCAGATGTGCCTGCTTCCCCTTCTGCCATGATTGTAAGTTTCCTGAGGCCTCCCCAGCCACATGCAGAACTGTGAATCAATTGAACCTCTTTCCTTTATAAATTACCCAGTCTTGGGCATTTATAGCAATGTGAAATGGACTAATACAGGTGTGGAATAGACTAGGCCTGTAGGAACTCCACCTGAGTTATCAGAAGATTGGTTTAATGGAGACTTCTGGTGTCAAGACAGCAACATGAGTCACTGGCTAGCCTTCTTTCCGTCTTTTCCCTTGCGCCAAACCTCAGAAATAATACTAAAGTTGTGTGTGTGTTTTTTCCAGACATCTCACTCTGTCACCCAGGCTGGTACAGTGGTGTGATCATGGCTCAGTGTAGCCTCTATCTCCAAGGCTCAGTTGATCCTCCCACCTCAGCCTTTCTAGTAGCTGGGACTACGGGTGCACACCACCCTGCCTGGCTAAGTTTTGATTTTTTGTTTTGTGGAAACAGGGTTTCTTCATGTTGCCCAGGCTGGTCTTGAACTCCTGGGCTCAAGTGATACACCTTCCTTGGCCTCCCAAAGTAATGGGATTACAGACATGAACTACCATGCCCAACTCAAGATATAGTTTTAAGTGAAGACATAACTGTAAACAAGAAGGGGAAAACAGTTTTGCAATTCTTCAAAAAGTTAGCCATGAAATTATCATATGACTCAGCTATTCCACTCCTAGATATATACCCCAAATAATTGAAAATATATTCAAATAAGAAATTATAAATGAATATTGATAACAGCAGTATTCACAATAGCCAAAACATGAGACAATCCAAATGTCCATCAATGGAGGGATAAGCAGCATGTGGGATAATGCATACAGTGGAATATTATTTAGCCATAACAAGGCATGAGACATGCACATATGCTACAACATGGATGAACCTTGAAATCATTATGCTAAGTGAGGGAAGCCATACAAAAAGTCATGTACTGTATGATTTCATTATATGAAATGTTCAGAATAGCTCAATCCGGAGACAGAAAGCCAATTTGTGATTGCCAGGGCTGGGAGGAGGGGAGAATGGGGATTGACTTCTTAATGGGACAGAGTTTTCTTTTGGGGTGACAAAGATGTTTTTGGAACTAGATAGAGGTGGTGGTTGTGCTACATTGTGAATGAACTACATGCCACTGAATTGGACACTTTAAAATGGCTAATTTTTAGTTGTATGGATTTTACCTCCATTTAAAATATAAAGCAAGAAGAAGTCTTGGAGAATCAGAGTCATGGACTTTATAACTAGGAATGGCTCCCTATGTGATCAGGACTCAGTCTCTAAGTTGATGCCATCCAGTGTAACAAAGGCCCTGCAATCAGCCTGGGTGGCCTCCACCAACTTGGTCATGTGAAAATTCTAGCAACGACATGGATTTATAAACAAAAACAAAAACAAATGGCTGGATGTTGTCTGCTGTGCAGAGCTCCAGGGCAATGTCAACATATTGATAACCGCAATTTACAAGACCCCTTCCTGTCTTCTCTGTCTCACTTCCAAACCTTCAAATCTTGTATTTTAAGTTCCTCCTGTTTTCTCTGGAATGTAGTTAATTGCCTTGGAATGACTATAATCTCCGGTAGAGAATAACATGCTTATTGGGTCAGTGGCTCTTTCTCAAAAGAGCTGCACAAAGAAGATTATGTGTGAATTCAGAGAATGCTATTAGGTGCCAAGCTCCGTTGGATTTGAAATGTCCTGTCAAGTTGCAGATTCACAGCTTGACATTTATATGGTTATTTATGTCACTTATTAACTATGGTGTGTTTGTGGCAATCTAATTATGATTGCCTTCTCAGCTTGTGAATAGCAAGAAGAGATTGCTTTGCAACAAGAGCTCACCCTGGGATGTTCTGTTGAACACAACTTGGGGAGGATGGGGATCAAAAGGAATGATGGCTTTGTTGTGTATTCTTTTGCTTGTGACATTATAGAAGCTTCTGCCCTAAGAACACTGGTTGCCAGGCATTCTGCTGCTCTGGGTCCGGGAAGAGGCAGAAAGAAGCTTGTGAAGCTGCCTCAGGTGCATGGTCTTTAACAGTCTTCGTTTCTAGGAGATGCTGAAACACCCAGAAAAAAGTGCTATATTTCTTTAAGGTGGCTTGGAGATTTGGCCTGAGTCGGGGATTGTGGAGAGCCAATATTCTGCTTTTGGAGAAATTTGTCCTAATTTTTGACATTCTGACATTAAAAACAAAGATATTAAGCTGTGATTTTTAGCTTTGTGTCTGCAGTGCAGGGGGAATGCTCTGTGCTGGGAGGCCTGTCGACCTGGAATGAAATGAACTCACATTCCAAGGCTTCTGGTCATAATGTTTGCCCTCTCTCTTCCACCTTCCCCACCCTATGGAGCTTTAGGGTGAAATGGGTTATGAATGGCAGACTTGGTAGGATGAGGGAGAGGCTGGGGCAACAGAAGAGAAGAGCTTTGCGTTCAGCTCAGAGCCAGATTGTTGGGAATAGTGCTTATCTTCCGATGTTGCAGGGAAGAATCAGCATTTAAACAAAAGGTTTTTCCGAAAGGCCTTTTTTTACTTTCTGCAGAAAGGGCACTGCTTGCCAGCAGTTTTGCCACGAGAGTGCACTAAACAAAGGAAGAGCAGACATATTTATGTTTAATGCATTCGGTCCTATTGCTGTGTCTTGATTTCATTGGCTGGAACTGGACCTCACATTTTAGGCTATACCCAATTGGCTAACAACTTAAAACTTTATTAAAGAAGTAAGGGCAGAGGAGAACAAAGGAAAAGAGGAAGTAGCTTACAGAATGCTGAGAGAGGCAAAAATACTTTTAAGTAAGGAAAGAGGAACAAGCTATGACCTAGGCTTGTCCAGGCATGTCAAGGCAGGTATCTAGGCTAAAATGTAAGAACTAAGAACATCAACTACACTAATTTCTTTATTTTAGCTAGCTGATATAACAGAGGCCTTAGAGTAGATTAACCTAGAGAAAGAGTCTACTATCTATTTTTAATAGGCTGAGAAAATTTGAAGAGGAACCTTTATTTATTTCACTTTTTACAATTTCCCCTGCTTTTATTTTGTAATTCTTCTTTAAACTTGTTTAATATATTTTGGCTTAATTGCTCTGTTTGGTCTTCTAAAAGGAGCAGTCTTTCTGAATGGGGTGGAAGAAGGTTAGGAAACAATTCAGTGAGTAGTAGAGACAAACTTCTGTGTGAAGCCTCTCAGACAAGGGATAATACAGCATTCTACTAGAACAAGTGCACCAGCAACAAGAGTGGATTGAGGTGAGAATTGAAGTTAGATTTTTTTCCATCTGCTGAATATTTTTTTTTATTATTTTAGTAAAAGGGTTACTGATTCCAGAATGCTTTGCAAGTTTATTAGATAAATCTATTCAACCTTGCAATGCCCTGGTTATGGTTCCATCAGGGGCTGTATTATTGGGAATAAAGGTACAACACTGAGTCCTTATTATGACACAAACACCCCCCCTTTTTTTTGTTAACATTATGTTTAAGGCTATTCTCTTCTCATAAGCCATTTGGCTGGTGGGTCCTAATAGTTCAGCTGTTCCTCTGATAGCAACTTTAGTGTAATTCACAAAGCATTTTTGATTGTAATAAATATAATTTATACAGTTTACATTTTTATTAATGGTTACCTATCAGAACAATGTAGATTTAAACTTTGCAGCTATTTGATTTTGTGCTTTAAATTCATCCAGTACTCCTTGAGGGACTTTAATGGTGTCTATATAAGCTTGAGAATCAAAGTACTCGTAAAGAGTGTTTCTTGGTTTGCGGTGTTTTGTTTTTACCTTCTTAGACTGATGAAATGCCATGGTAAACGGGATAGCCAGTTGGATTAGAGCACAAGTACCACTCTAATGATTTGGCAGAGTGTTCAGTAAAGGTCCTCCACAGTACCACCATACATCCACTTGGGAATGGTTGAGGGTGGACTGATGGGTAAGCTCTTTTGAGGGGCTTGAGCTTTTGCATCCTTTTATGCTTCCAAGGAACACTGAATTCTCCCCTTGCCATGAGAAGCACGAGATACACTTGGCATTTAGAGGTGGAAGCTGGATTGCCGTTGAGGGCTGACCCACAAGGTATTGAACTTCAGGAAACAGCAGAGAGAGAGCTCAGCACAATAGACTATGTTAGGCTATGGAATTTTGAAAACAAGACACCATCTACTCCCTACCTGATTGATGAAGGGACCATCCAAGTGGAAAGGAGACAGTCGGGGCCTCTGGCCTGCCGTGTGCACAAGTGTAACAGTTGCTTTTATTTAAGGTGTGGGTGTAATATTTAATCCATTCCAGTTAGGCATTTGCGTTTTGGTATCCTGTTTCAATGGCTAAGTTCTGCTTTAGATCTTCTACTTTTAGAATAGACACCTTGGTATTAGGAGTGGGAACAACTGGTGTTGGGCCTAAGACTGAGATTACTGAAGTTGGAGAGGAAGGGGGAATAATGTGTATTTAGCAAATACCTCCTCGGGGATCCTTTTTTTTTTTTTACATTAATCCCTGTACTATAGAAGCAACTAAGGGCAGGCCTAGAGTCAGTTAAGGCAGAAGTGGTGATGGGGAGAAGGACAGGGTTGCACTGATAAGACTGAGAGTTGGCCGGGGCAGTTCCCTTAGTCAAGTAGAGGAGGGGCTTTAAATCAGCACACACCCCACCCGTGGAAGTCTAACCTTGGTCCTGAGGGGTCTAAAGAACACAGTTTTAACTGCTACAGGGTTGCCAGGTTGTAGGAAGAGAAAATTGGCGTCTCGGCTGCAGGTGATCACAATGATGGGAACTAGGAGTAGCTATATTGATTAGAGGGCCGGGGCATAAATACTTATTTAGAAAGGTTAACTGTTGTTGATCTTTTATACCTCTACAAGGTATGACAGCAGAAGCATTAAAGGCAATGGTCTGAGGTGACTCAGACTTAGTTAAATTAATAACAAAGGAGCTAGTAACAGAATAAAGAAAGGAAAAGGAGCAATATAAAAGGCATATGCAAGTTAAACTTTCTTTAACTTCAACTTGGTAGGGCTCGGCCCCAGAACAATAGCCCATGACTTTGGAAATGTTGATGCTTTCTTGACTTGAGTATGATGGGTCCACCCCTTCTCTGCTGTACGAATAGTCTCAGTGGTAAGTAACGCAAGATAAGGTCCTTTCTAGGCTGGCCCAAGCTTCCTTCCTTTCTATCCTTTGATGAAAACGTGATCTCCAGGCTGATGCTGGTGCACTGGAAACTCCAAGGGTGGCGCCTGTGCTAAAAGACCTTTAGTTTTAAGAGAGGAAAAGGTGGAAGACAGACTAAATATATAATTTTTAAGAAACTGATCTTTGGTTTCAAACATGGGAGCATCAGCTGAGGAATGTAGGTAAGGTAGTTGATACAACATTTTGTATGGGGATAGACCAATATCCTTCTGGGGAGCAGTCCTAATATTTAATAACGCAGTGGTTACCATTTGGTCCATGGTAACTGTGTTTTAAAATTAATTTAGTTAAATGTTTTTTTTTTTTTTTTTTTTTTTTAGAGTTTGGTTTATTCTTTCTACTCTTACAGGGGAGAAGGGGTGCCAGGGAATATGAAAGTCCTCTTTATTTTATGTTTAACACTTGGGCCAGCTTTTTAATAATATGTGCAGTGAAATGAGTTTTGTTATCTGAATCAATATTTTAGTTTAAATTTAGGCATAAGATGTTTAACTGATGCCTTTACTACAATACTGGCAGTTGCCTTTGAGAAAGGAATAGCCTCTACGTAGTGTGTGAAATGATCTACTATTACTAATAAGCACTTAGCCGTCTGAGGGCATTGCAGCGCTATCTACTTGAACACTTTGGCTTCTAATCTAGGGCCTCTTTGTTTTTGTCTTTTTTCCTTGTTTTCGCATCTACAACCTCTGCAACCATTACTTTGATGTTCTCCCTTAAAATACTGGCCTTGTCTACTTTCCTTTTGTAACCTTGAATTCTAGGGCCCTCCTCTTTCACCTCCTTTGGCAAACCCTGCCGGCATGGGTCCAAATTTAGCCCTTGGCAGCATTTTCCCATGGCGAACTTTGCCAGAAGATTTTTTTGCTTTCTGTCTTTGCTTTTCTTTCTTTTTTTTTTTTTTTTCCTATGTATTCTTTCTGGGCTTTGCCTAAAAGCTCTTCTATTGATCGGTTTTTCCAATTATCTAGTTCTTATAACTTCTCTGCAATATTTGGCCAGCTATTCGTAACAAGATGCAGCTTTAACATTCTTTGTCCTAGAGGGCTTTATTTACCAAAAGCTTTAGAGAGATTTTGAGGTCGAGAGGCTGACTCTTGAATTCTTTTAACAATTATTTCTTTTAAATTTCTTGTGTTATTTCAATGGGCTGCAAGATTATTGTCCCACTGCGGGTCTTGAGCTGGAAACTTTGTATCTGCTGCTGGGACATCCTGGCTTGCAGGATCATCTCATGCCCAGGCTGCCATAGCAGCCCTACAGATCATGTTCCGTTCCTCCCTTGAAAAAAAAAAAGAATATTTAAAATGGACATTAACTCTGTCCAAGTATATAATTGGGGCTCTAAGAACTGATCAATTTGTTCTGCTACTCTATCAGGGTAATTAACTAATAGCAGACTTTGGACCTCAGAAGCGGTTAAAGGAGTGTTCACAAAGCCAACCGCGCCCCCTCCTTGAGGCACTTCTTTTAGAGGAAAAAGCTTTGAAGCTAAAGCTAATTCCTTAGAGGAGGGAAAAGAAAAATTTGGGATATTTCTTTTACATCGCTGTGTCTTCTGCCGAAACAGTGCTGCAGCGGATTCAGGAACAGCAGAAACAGGTAGTGTGGGAGGAGGAAGGGCGGGTGCGCATGCAAGAGCTGGGGGAGCTGGGAGTGGACAGTCTGTGGGCAGCAGTGGGAATGAGGAGGTCCCACTTACATGAGGGTTGCTCATGGATAAAAAGTTGACCTTTGTCAGGCGAGGCCTTCTCTAACTTTGATCTGCTCTCTGGTTATTTCCCTTCCTCCCTTAATGGGTAAAGGAGGACGGCCCCTGCCGCCAATAGAAAGCATAATTGATCTCCTCTTGTAAGACTGGGTTCTTATTATTGACATACATTATTAGAAATTGACAGACCTAATCCTTAGCCGGCCTAAATTTTGGCCAGACAGCTGCAGGCTTGAGGATCGGTTCTTTGGTCCCAGTAAAACAGCAATATTTTATCATTTGTTGCTTTTTTCTTATGCTTAGTCCTTTCATTATCCTTTTAATATGTTAGCATATGCCCTAAAGGGCTGTCGTGAGGAATCTCATCACTGGAGTCAGCTTTACTTCATGTCTTTGTTTTACTAGAACCTGATATGGGATACTGGCTGGGTTTAATCTCCTTAATCCACTGGAAGGCCCAACTCCTGAAGCTAGGGATGTTTCACCTTTCCAGCCCTGGAAGGTGGAAGGCCCAATCCCTCAAGCTAGGGATGTCTCCCCTTTCCAGCCCTGAGAGGGTGACCTGTTCCCTCTCTTTTCTCTTCCAAAGGTTCCGTGCACACTCACGCATACACACATTCAACCCTACAGGAGTTGACCACCAAAGAGGTACTTTGTCGCCCTCTTGCAATGTTTCTTACCTTGGCTCATGCATGAGGTTGCCTGGCTGCCAGCGCTGCAAGTCTCTTTCCCCTGCGTTGCTGAGAATCCGAGTTTATTCCTTGTACTGGGTGGGTCCTGGCTCTACCCCTAGGGCCACTGTAATGAGGTGATGGGCTGTGCCTTCCCATGAGAGAGTGCCGGAGACCATCCCAGAGGGGAATGCCTCCCCAGATGGGCCACCAAAGTGTTGGGAATAGTGCTTATCTTCCCACGTTGCAGGAAAGGATCAGCATTTAGACAAAAGGTTTTTCAGCAAGGCCTTTTTTAACTTTCTGCAGAAAGGGCACTGCTTGCCAGCAGTTTTGCTACAAGAGTGCACTGAACAAAGGAAGAGCAGGCATATTTATGTTTAACACATTCAGTCCTATTGCTGTGTCTTGATTCCACTGGCTGGAACTGAACCTCACATTATGGGCTATACTCGATTGGCTAACAACTTAAAACTTTCTTAAAAAGATAAGGGTAGAGGAAAACAAAGGAAAAGAGGAAGTGGCTTACAGAATGCTGAGAGAGGCAAAAATATTTTAAATCAGGAAAGAGGAATAAGCTATGACCTAAGGCTTGCCTGGGTTTATCCAGGCATGTCAAGGCAGGTATCTAGGCTAAAATGTAAGAACTAAGAACATAAACTACTCTAATTTCTTTATTTTAGCTAGCAGATGTAACAGAGGCCTTGGAGTAGATTAACCTAGAGAAAGAGACCACTATCTATTTTTAATAGGCTACAAGAATTTGAAGAGGAACTGTAACCAGGTTGTGGGATGGGATGGGGCTTAGCTCACTCCCCCAATGAGATGTGTTTGAGGTTCTTGGGCTCTCACTCACCTAAGAATGGGGAGAGGGCCCAGGTGGCACAGTGAGCTTGTTCAAGTAAGTATTGAACCCAAAGAGTTTTGCAGAGAGTGATTTATTAGGCAGAGAAAGAGAGAGAAGTAGAGAGAGCTCCCATGCTGTTGTGGGAGGGGATCCCAGAGAGGGAAATCTCTACAGGGAGAGAGGGAGAGACAGCTCCCACATTGCCATGGGAGGGGACCCAGAGATGGAGTCTGTATAGGTAAGGGAGTAGGGGGGATTTTTAACCCTGGAGTTACTCCCGCCCCATTCTTGTCTAGTGAGAGGAACTTTTCCAAACTTCCTCTGGAGTGGTTGATCTTTGACTCTGATATTGAATTGGTTGCCTGGCCTGCAATCAAAGCCTCCTCCCTTGGAACTTTTGGCAGGCTTTCTAAACCAAGGAAGCTTACCTGGGCTCTCTACCCAGCCTGCACACGGGAAAGTTAGACAAAGAACTAAGTTCTAAGTTATTTGTCTTAGAACAGGATGTCTTCATCCTGTCAGGATGAAGACCTGTCAGTCATGTCGCTGGGAATTTTCTGCCTTTGAAACCATGCCCCTTGTGGACTTGGTTTTCCTTGACACAATCCCTCAGAACCTATATTTATTTCATTTTCTACACAAATCTACTGAGCTCCTCTAGCTTCAGACAAGGTTCTTAAGAGGGCACTCCATCGTGATACAAGAACCAGAACATTTTTTAAAAAGCCTATCTGTGCTCCTATCAAACTACTAATGACATTCTTCACAGA